GAATCTCGGCGGGGAGGTCGCTTCAAAGGGCCGTAGCTGCCACAGAGAAGGCCCTCCCGCCGGTGGTAGCCAGATGGCATTGGCTGGTAGACGGGACCCGTAGGAGGCCTGCTCTGAGTGATCTAATGGGTCTTTGGGAGGTAATTGGCAGCAGGCGGTCTCTCTGTGTGTGGAGAAAGAAGATATATTCACACTTACTCTAGGGCCCTTCTGACCTTGATGACCTGGTGTACCAGGAAAACCTCGAGCTCCCTGAAACAGAATGAGAAAATACACAATTATATAATGAAACAAGAAACCTCTTCCTTTCAAGTCAGGCTACAGTCAAGTCCTCCTTCCTGTCCCCATAGTATATGTAGATCAGGAGTGTCAAACTGGCAGCCCATAGGCCAGATGCATTACGCACAGGCCACACCCACCCCGGCTCCGCCAAGGCAAAAGAGTCATGATACATCATGTGACACAATCAAGTTTGACACCTGTGGTATAGATGTTTCTACCACCTGGTATCCACGGTTGCAAGTTGCCAATAGTCATTTCAACCATTTATAGGTTTTGCATTTAAGAAAGATATGCAGGGATAAATATGGTTCTCTCCACATCTCCTTAGTGGCTTCTTAACATAGCAATTAGGGACTGAATGCCTTAACCATGACATTTTTTAATTACCAAGGACATTTGTGCAGCAAAGAATCTCCTCCATCCCTGGAAGTATATGTCAAATTACAGACTGCATAATGTACAGAAGAAGCATTTAATAAAGATTTTCTTCTTCTGCTTCTTCTTCTTTTGACGATGTGTGGATGACAAGGAAATTCAAAATGGAGATGATAAGGGCAGAATTATTAAGTTCTCAGATGCAAGGATGATAATGTATAATCTATCACATTTTAACTTTCAGAATCCTGAAAGTGACACCAATTGAGGAAGGCCAGTCCAAATCTTTTTAACTGGGTTCTTTATGAGATGAAAATGGGAAAATATTAAATATTTGGTGCAAGTAGAGGTAACAAATTGAAGTATGAGGATTGAGATAAACAAACACTGGAAAACATCACATATGAATACTACAGTTACATATGCCCTGAAACTAAGAATTGAATAGAATAACAGAGTTGGAAGGGACCTTGAAGGTCTTCTAGTCCAACCCCTTGCATGGGCAGGAAACCCTACACCACTTCAGACAAATGGATATCCAACATCTTCTTAAAAACGTCCAGTGTTGGAGCATTCACAACTTCTGGAGGCAAGTTAATTGGTTAATTGTTCTAACTGCCAGGAAATTTCTCCTTAAGTTCTAAGTTGCTTCTCTCCTTGATTAGTTTCCACCCATTGCTTCTTGTCCTACCCTCAGGTGCCTTGGAGAATAGCTTGACTCCCTCTTCTTTGGGGCAGTACCTGAGATGT